TGTGTGTGTGTGTGTGTGTGTGTGTGTGTGTGAGAGAGAGAGAGAGAGAGAGAGAGAGAGAGAGAGAGAGAGAGATATCGAGATCAAACTGAGGACTTTGAGCTTGCCAGGCAGGTGTTTAGTGTTTATGCTGCAGAGCTATCTCCCTGGCCTCAAAAATCTGGTTAATAGATCTCTGGTCTCTCTCTCCTCTCTCTCTCTCTCTCTCTCTCTCTCTCTCTCTCTCTCTCTCTCTCTCTCTCTGTGTGGTATTGGGGGTAGAACTCAGGACCTTGCACTTTCTGAGCCTTTTCAGCTTCTATCTATGTGTCCCTATTCTGGTATGCATTTGGAATGTTTACACTAATAGAAAAGTTTAGTTTATACTGGGACTTTTCCAGCTTTTATTTTCTCTTTTCCTGGATATTGACTAGTTGTACTTACACAGATAGTAACTTGCAAGTTACATTATTGTTGTAAATTTCACTAAGATAAAGGAGTTCTTGCCTTCTGTAGAAATGAAAATTAGGTTCTTGGAAGCAAGCTCACAAATGGCTATGTGCTATTTCTTTGAAGTTGAAAATCTTAAAATTGTGTTTCTGCAACCATTTTATGTAAAAGTCTTCTGTGTTCAGAAACTTGAATAGAATCCAAGACCAATTCAATTTAGAAAAAACATTATTTTACACTCTAAAATAATAGGCACATAGTTGATGCTTTAAATATTTGCAGGATAACTGAATGCAAGATGCTGTGCCAAATGCCTCAGAAAATCCCAAAATGAATGGGAATAGTCTTTACTTTAAAGAACCTAAAGTGAGGTGGGAAGGAGTCAGGTACGTGGTGGAGAACAGTACAGTCCAGTCTAAGGGGTTGCTCATCCCAGGACTCAGCTCATTTGGCGCCCTCCTTTCTCTCTGCTCACATAGCAGCATGCTTATCTCCATCATTCATTTCCTCCAAAAGTACTTACACGGCACCTGCTGTGTATCCAGCACTCTTCTAAGGGCTAAGGATGCAGTGGTGAATATGGAAAATGTCCCTCCCTTCATGGAGCTTGGGTGACCATGAACAGCAAGCACAACTTCAGGTGGTGATAAATGTTGTACTAAAAAATTAAAGCAAAGCAGATAACAAGATGGTAGAAGGGGAGTAGCTAGATAAAATGGGCAGGAAAGGCTTCTTTGAGGAGGTGATGTTTAAGCAGAGTCCTACATGAAGTAAGAGGACACACTGCGTTGACCCATGCCATATTATGCTGTATCCACACTTCATGTTCACTTAATAGTCTCCTACCACATTGCCTTAGGGTGGGGACTGTCTTGATTTCTTGTTGATCAGCAGGTGTTCCTTGTGGGCCTTAGTCCATTCAAACTGCTTGGGATCAGAACTGTCTCCCATTTTATAGTTTTTCAGATTTTAGAATTATTGCCTAGAGATTAATGGTTGAGGATCCTTGATCTGTCTGGAATGTGAAACTTTTTAAAAAATTCAGTCTATTGGAACATTTTAGATATAGATAATGACCATATTTCATTATAGGGAATTTGTACATGTACACAATATATTTTGGTTCCTTTTTCCCCCAATCCCCTTTCTTCCCTTCAACTTTTCTTCTCCTCCTTATTTACAAAGCTTTTTATTTTTATCCTTTTTAAAACATTTTTTCTTTCCATTTGCAAAGCTTTTTGTTTTTATCCTTTTTTAAATGTTTTTTCTTTCCTTTCCTTCCTTTCTTTGCAATTCATAACATCTATTGTACATTTTGGTCTTTATTGCCTCTTTCAGTTTCTCACACTAGGGAGCCAATGTGATATTTACACATCTGTGTCCAGTGTAACACTCCAAACTTTTTGAATTTGGAACATTGTAGATTTGGGATGTTCAACATGTGTGAATGAGTTGAGAGATCAAAGAAACAAATACTTTCTTTTTTTCCGTAATTTTATTGAGAAACAAATAGCAATGAGACAGTTTCATATAAAATTGATAGGACAGTTTCAACAATCAACACATTGCATACATTCTTCCCAGTGGTTAATTGCTGTACAAGATGAAGACTTGACATCCCATTCACAAACACCACTAGAACAAATCCCTCTATTCATTAAGACAATGTAACAATATATCTATCCTAACCACCCTGAATACACAGATACAAAATGGACATTCGTCTGTGTCCCCTTTTTTTGTTAAGTTC